CTTCCCCTCCCCCGCCACTGAATTTGGGAGGGGAGGGTCCAACTCAGGCCCTTGCAGACCCCAAACCCACTGAAGTCAGGAGACGACAGCCCAGAGGACACCTGTATCAACAAGAAGGGCCATGGAAAAAGCCCGGCTCGTCCCCCCACAGCCAGGCAGGAGGCCACGCTCCTTCCAGAGACTTGTTTGCATCAAATTAGCCTGGTCTGGCAGTCAAGGACCCGCTCTTCGCCTGCAGCAGGCTCTTGCAGGGCAGGGCAGGGCAGAGCTCTGCACCAGATCTGTAGGCAGAGGAGCGGGTCCACACCAATTTCTCAGCACCCGCCGTACCATTCAGAGCCTGTCCAAGTGCAGGAAGATTAGTGGCATGGGCAGAGCTGGGACGCTTACTCACAACAAAAGGGCAAAGGAGGAGGGGGGAAACTGCACTGGTTCAACTCATTGTGAGAGAGCAGCACAAAGCAGCCCAGAAATCTTTCCAGGTTCAGGCACCGACTCTATAAAAAGCCACTCTGATTTTCTCCGAGCTTCTCATTATCTTGAGCGGCCTCCACAATGGGCCCTGTCCATCTCCCCGCCAGCCTGATTCTCATCTGGGGCCGCGGGCCGCCGTCGCTCTGCTCGCCTGGCCCCACGCCTGCGCTTCTCGCGGCTGGTAGTGACCTTTGCTGGCGACCAGAGGCCTCGAGCAAAGGGGAAGCAGAGTTTGACAGGTCAGTGCTTAACAGGGTGCTCTCTGCCATGGCTTCAGAGATGAAGCCAAGTCAAAAACAGCACCTGGAACTGGTCTCCACCTCCCGGATGCTCTTTGGCTCATTTGAAACACCTTGTGCTCCCAGCCCAGGTGCTAACAGGCAGGTGTCCCACCTTGGAAAGCTACTGCCTCCCTCCCTGGCCAGCTCTGCAGGGCCGAGGATGGAGGGGCTCCGAACAAATGGCACGCAGGGGTGCGAGCCGGAGCAGCTCTGGGGCAGGGAGCCGACACAGCTGCCGTTCCAGAGACAAACAGCACTGTCCAGGCTCCCAGACCACGGAGCTGGCAACCTCTCCGGAGCACTAAATTTGCTTTTTAAAAAGCCAATGATCTATTATGACATGCACTGAATTTCAATCCCGTCGCGGCCGTGCTGTTTGCCAAAGGCACCAAGTCTTCCTCCACGCTGTACCTTGCTGCAACATGCATTGGTCCCCTCGCAGCCTAATTCCCGACGCTCGATGCAGAAAGGCTGCGCTCAAGGCAAGACCTGCTCGGCCGGCTGGGTCGCGGGGCCTCGTGGCCCAAAAAATAGAGCCCCCAGAAATAGAGCTCTGGGCTGGGTTGGCAGCAAGTCTGAGGTTGGAGAAAGAGGCTCTGCAAATGTATTTCAATTGGCAAGCACAGACAAAGGTGAGAGGGGCCCTGGAAGTAACGGAAATGGAGAGAACAAGCGGCCCAGGCCCTAAATAAAGACACAAAACGCATGACATGTCGTTGGCAGGGTCGGCCCAGGGGAGCGGGGCTGAGAGCCCCATTCACGTTGCAGGCGGCGAGGGGGGAGCAGAGGTGACAGCGCCCAGAGGGAACAAAAGAAAGCAAGCTCCGGGTCCACTCCTCGCTTTGCAGCTCGGAGAGCTCGGTCCTGCAGGGACCTGTGTCAAGAGGCTCGGACCCCGGACACCGCGTGGAGGGAGCCAGGCCGCTCTCTCCCAACTCCCCGCTGCCGCCGAGCAAAGCCAGTGCTAGAGGCGAAGACCCCACTGGCGGGGTAGAAGAGCCCGCGAGGAGGGAAGGGTGGGCTCTTCGCCGGCTTCTCCTCCTCGGCCCCTTGTGCAGAGACCCCGTCTCCCCCCTGCCCAGAGGGAGCGCTCCCGCGGGAGCATCCCTAGCCTTTGCCCCGGCTTCCCGCTCCGCTTGAGACCCAGCCCCACCGCGGGGGACACGGGGAAGGGCTGGGCAGGGACCCCCGAGGGGCCGCGGGGAAGGGGCTGCAGCCCGGACCCACCTTGAAGGCGACGTCGTAGAACTCGCCGCTGGCGCTGAGCGAGGGGCGG